AAGATCAAAGACAATTTTTAATATAACTCCGACTGGATACGTCTGAAAGAAGAAAGTCATATATACCTAGGATGCATCGGGGGTGAGTAAAAAACAGCCTAATTTTCATTTTTGGGTGAACTAACCCTTTAAGCGAAAGAGAACTCGGCATTCGCACGCTGACTGAGAGGCGTGTTATTCTGTGAGCGCGCTTTTGGTGTGTGAGCACAGAAACCCGTCGGCTTTCAAGCTGTAGTATTGTTGCCGCCGCTGCCATGCCGTGAAGGCACTGTGTGTTTCATTGTGAAAGCGAAACTAGTTTGTTTGGCCTTCCAAAAGAGGACAGGACTAGAAATCAGTGGTTAAGTTGTATTTACAACACTTTTCCAGAACAGTTCAACCCAAATATTCAGATTTGTGCAGCGCATTTTATGGAGGACTGATCCTGGAGAGTAGCCTACAATGCCGGTGTTCTGACAAATAATGCTGACTCACAGCCTGTAAGTACGTTTTCATATTTAAAGAATTTGCCACTGATGATTCAAACACGAGTTTTGAGCAGTGTAGAGTAGCGCTTGTTGTTTGTCGTTTCTCTGATCACAAATGCAGACATGGTTTTATGTTTACGCGATGCAACGCAATGCGTAAAAAGACAGTATAAGTCATTATAATCAGTAATTATGTCCCCACTGGATGCAACAAATGCCTCGTTTGTAATGGGTTTTCATGTTTTTTGTTTCGTCGCTCCGGCCGGGACACGGCATCAACAGTATGGTGAGGGGCGTAACATTTCCGTCACACGCTTGAGGTATTCGGCCAATCACAATGCACTGGATAGCTGGCCAATCACAGCACACCTCGCTTTTCAGCTTTGTAAAAATCGACGCGTTTCAAAAAGGCGGGGCATAGAGGAGAAACAATAATGTACAGTATGTGGAAAATAATGTGTTTTTGAACTTTAAACCGCATAAACATTTCATTACACCAAATACACAAAATAGCAGCATCATATTCTTTTTAGCAGCATCATATGACCCCTTTAAAAACACATGCAAATACTGAATATCCCTTTCGTAATCATGCATTGAGTCAGTGACATTTCCGTCAACTGTCCCTGGACTCTGACATATTTTCCGAGTTCGAAAGGCTCGAGTCCGAGTCAAGTCCAAGTAAAAATGCATCCGAGTCCGTGACAAGTCCGACTCCTTTAAAAAACTGTACTCGAGACCGGACTCGAGTCCGAGTATGAGTCCGAGTACCGCAACTCTATCTTCTGACTTTCTACACAAATAATTTTACAACTTTTTATTGCAGTTTCCACAAAAACATTAAACAGCACAACTGTTTAAACATTGATAAAAAGAAGAAATGCTGATTTGCTGCTCAATAAACTATTATAATATACATATTAGAATGATTTCGGAAGGATCATGTGACACTGAAGACACTGACAATTCCACTTTGCCATCACAGGAATAAATTACATAGTTTTATATGCATAAAATATAAAACCATTATTTCAAATTGTAATAATAATTCACAATATTACTGTTTCTACTGTATTTGTAAACAAAAATAAATGCAGCCTTGGTGAGCATAAGACACTTCTTTCAAAAACCCCAAACTTTTGAACGGTAGAGTACTTAAAAAAATTGGTTAGTCAATATTGGTTTGAACAACTAGTTGGTCTTAAGTAAACCTTGCATAATTACGCTTGTTGTATTAGACAAGTCCAGACTCCCAAGGAATCTGCACTTGAAGACACATAACAAATCTGCACATGCCTCGCCACTTGCTTAATTAATATTTTACTTATGTGATTTTGCTTTCATTTATAAAAGAGCTATAAAAATAATAATAATAATAAAAAATAAAAAAAGTCTAAATAGCTGACTTCATAAACCTACTAGTTGGTTTCCATATGAGCACACTGACCAGTACCTAATTTATACAGCTAGAGGTAAATTTACCTTTTATGGGGTAGTGAGGTACAAAGTGTTGCTATATGTACAATACTAGCTGCCATGACTAAGCACATCTTAAACATAGCTGTTAGCAGGACTTGCTTGACATGTCAAACTGACATTTTTCTACAAAAGCCTTTGTAAAAGCAATTCGATGTAATTCTGATAAGGTTGTATTGTTTTGATGGGTAAGGCACTTTGAGTGAGTGAGTGAGCGAGTATTCTCTAGTGTTCACGCTGAAGGTGCTATCAGCAAATCATACAGTAGGCTGATGTAGAATCCAGTTCCACCCACAGAGCACAAAAAAGGAGCTGAGCCCGAAAGATTGTTCACCATTTCTGCTATGTGATATTGATCTCAATGAGGGAGTTTTCAGGCAGAAAATTACCGCAAGGGGCTTGGCAGCTTACACACATACACAACAAAACATGAAAAGGGCGGGAGAAGGGCGGGGTGAAGAGGAAATGGAAATGAGAGACAAAAATCAGGAGCTGAATTAAGAAAACTATTAATGACACCGCCATTGACTCCGCTCTGCCCCCTAGTGGTTCACACACATAATCCAAAGGGTGGGGTTTTGATCCTGTGCTCTCTGCAGGGATTTGAAATTAATTCACTTCAAGCATGTAATACATAAAAGCATGTAGTTGATTCTTTATCTATGTATTTGTAACATTTTCATGTGTTCTTTTATACTTATATATGTGTGCAATCATAATCCAGTAGTGAGGATTCAGTCAAATGACTTGAGTGCTAATCCAGAAACGCAAAAAGCAATGTAATTATGAGATCTGCATCCGTGAACATGCCAGCATTTGACTAACAGGGGCTCATTACACAGTAGGTTTTGCAGGCTTGATTGCATCTGATGGCCTGATGCATCCCAGAGGGAATACTGATGTGTTCTCCAAAACTCAGCATTACGGAAAACCCTAGATGGAGCAAATGCACTTGCTCTCAGTTGATGAGTTTAATTCCTGGAAGCTAATGGTGCTAATGCTACCGAGCCAAATTAAATCACAGCTGCGTAGATACACACTTAACAAGTGCATATACCTGCATAGTGTGCATACATGCATTGCATTATCATACTTCTTAATATGAGAGGTTCTTATTTGCATGCTGAACTCTGTGGGATCATTTGAAATGTTAAAATGATCATATAGGTTAGGTACAGTATATACCCTATTGACAAAAACATCTTAAACCAGCCTAAGGTAGTTAGCTGGTCTCCCAGCCTGGCCAGGCTGGTTTCGTTTGCAGGTTTTTGAGAGGTTTCAGACTAACTTAAATGAGATACAATAAGCAAACCACCTTAGGTTAGCCTTTCAGCCTCAAGTTTCAGTTGCTGGCGTGCCTCTTATAAGGAACAGTTTACCCAAAAATGAGAATCTGCTTACAATTTACTCGCCCTCAGGCCATCTAAATGTAGTTTGTTTCTTCATCAGAACAGACTTTGAGAAGTTTGGCATTACATCACTTCCCCAACAATGAATCCTCTGCAGTGAAAGGGTGCCGTCAGAATGAGAGTCCAAACAGAGACTTCTTCTGGTGAAAAAGTCCATCCCTTGTTGTCCTTTCACATCAAAATCCACCAACACATTTGTTTAGAACGGTCTTGGACTGTTTTCGCTCGTAAGCTGTGCTTGATCTTTGCATATTTCTCTTCTGATTCAGATTTAACATGGGAAAGCAATACTATGGATAGAGGACTCTTATTGTGAATGGTTAAAAATATCTTAATGATGAATTTGTCACAAACACGCAGCTTTTCACTTCACAATACATTAATTAATGGACTGGAGTTGTGTGGATTACTTGTGGATTATCTTAATGATGAATTTGTCACAAACACGCAGCTTTTCAACATTAATTACATTAATTAATGGACTGGAGTTGTGTGGATTACTTGTGGATTATTGTGATGTTTTTATCAGCTGTTGTAGCTGTTGTAACGCTACATTTCTCCAAATCTGTTCTGATTAAGAAGCAAACTTGTCTACATCTTGGATGGCCTGAGGGTTAGTACATTTTCAGCACATTTTCATTTTTGGGCAAACTACTCCTTTAAGGGCAGATGGGTGAAGGAGTTTAGGGTCATGGCACCAATGTAACTGGTTCTACTTGCACCACTCTGTGCAGGATTCGAACTGCAGAATTTAGTCAGTCACTTGTATCGGGTTCATGGCACCACTTCAACTGTGCGAGTAGGACCAGAACTGTGACTTGGATCCAGTGCGGGATTCAAACCAGCATCAACCGGCATGTGAGGTGGGCGCACTAAAAAGGACAAGCTGTTACCATTACTAGTAGCAGGTAGCCAAAATTTAATACTGAACTGTATCCATCTAAATTAATCTAATCTATCCACCATATATTGTACACAAAATGTATGTACTCTACATTCTTTGAGTTTGAAGACAGTTCACCAGCTTTGCCATTTCATAAAAAGACTTCTTGTCATGTACTGTTTGAATTAGCATGCAAGCGTTAACATTTAGCTTATTTCAATTCCCTTCCCGAAGTAACAATATAATGTCAGAACTTTGGCTGTGTGCTGCTTACCTGTAGCCTCAATGTAGCGGATACACTTTTCGATGAACAGTGGAATGGGCCGCTCCGGCGTGACAACGTTGGCCAAGGGGACACCGAAGTAGTTACTCTCAAGAGGTTTCGACAACGATGACTGACGAGCCTTTGCCCGTGTTTTCTGCTAGACAGGAGACGAACACATTATTTCCTGGTACAATTACAATAGCTAAGCTTGAGCCACAATTAAGCACATACAAAAATATATTAACAGGTTTTGAAAAATCCTAATTATAATGTTAAAATTAAATGTATTTTAACATCTTGTCAATGATGTCAAATGTTAGTGGAATATAGTTAAATGTGAATGATTGATGTTATTCTTCGCAGGGAGTTTGATTGACAGGCGATCTGACCAATCATAACACCAATTCTGCCATTTTGTCCGACAAACAATCTAGTCAGGAGAGTAGATTAAAGTCGGTAGACTTGAACTTGAAAAATGTTGTGTATTGACATTTTTCCACAGTTGAAACATGATACCTTCTGATGTCCATTCGTGTTTATTTCATGCTATAACTGGTAAAGAGGAAGAGATGATCGGTTCACGTGCCGCTTGAACTGAGGCGCTACAGCGATCTGTCACGACACATTAAAAAGCCACAAAATGGTATTTATTTTTTGTTTTGTTTTTTTACAAAATGACAAAATTTTAAAGTTAAGACTTTGTTTCATACCAAAAATAACCTGCTCTGTCTTGTCTGTCGGCGCATTGTCAGAGTTTCCTCTTTGCTCCGCGATATACTGTATTTTTCACTGTGTTGAACATGATGTGTGGCGTGAGAGTGACATGGCTTGTCGGACATAGCAACAGTAATGAAGGGGGCAGGTCTTTGAGAAGGGTCAAGTTCACAGTTTATACTAAGGTACATTGGGTTTGACTTTTGAGTTTAGAGTTCTGCAGAAGGACACACTGCTCAGACCTCCCTCCCCCCCTCCTGCCTTCCCATGATGCTCTGCAGCAAGGCATCCCGGCTCATTGGCTAGTGTGTCTGCAGTACTGTCAGACAAGAGAAAAAGCTATGACGCTTATTAGGCCAGAGTCTGTCTGCTCTATAGATAGAAGGCGACCCGGCTTCCTGGTACATCTGCAGGTCAAAGCTCTGCTTTTCACACATTCAGGAAACATGCCACATTTACCTCCCTTTTTCTATCTATCTCTCTCTCTTTCTGTTTCTCCTTACATTTCCCACTGCTCTACTCCTTTTCTTATTTTCAGATTTCACCTAAATCCCCACTGGCTCCTCTCAATAGACGTTTACATAATTACCACCCTCCCCTCTCCAAGCTCTCGGTAAAGAATCTGTGCTCCAATTACAGTTCACAGGGAGTATTACTGGGAATGCAATGTTATGCAAAAAGTAATGCGTTCACTCTGCAACACAGGTCACACAGCAACCCAGACCAAGGCACACAAAGAAAACCAGCTACATCATGTTTATAACTGCTACCCCACCCATTTACAACTTCAGACACGACAGGATACTGATAGTGTTACACTGTGAATGAATCTGATGCTTGGTTATGTTATGCCTCACTAACCTCACAATCTATGCACAAAGTATTTGTAAGCGTTGGTAAACTTCACATTGCAATCAGTCCCCTGGTATCTCCACCATGCAACTATTCACTTGCCAGTTGCTGGTGCAGCGTTAAAGGGGCATTAGAAAGGAACTAGGTGACGGTGGAATTTAAAACATTCCACTTGTTGGGTGAGAAGATTTTAAAAGGCTGAGTGAACATTTCCGGCCTTGCTGTCCAACATACTGAGAAACAGAGAGAGCGCAGATGGGATAGTATACAGAAACAGGAAAGGCCTATTCAAACTCCTTTAACATCAGAAAGGGATAGTCTTTGTTGAACAGAGCTTAAACCAGTACAGACCCCTGGGGCTACTGGACTGCTGTGCTTTTTTATGGGTTGCTTTATGGATCAGTCCCATAAGGCAATTGATGCAAGCAAGGTAATTTAACCCAATGGCCTCATTCTAACCCCACTGAAGTAATAAAGACACTGCTGTGCAATGAGAAGGACTGGTGGCTCAATTCTTTCATATACCCTTAGGCTGTCACATGCTTTATGAGAACAGCAGTCACTGAAATTTCTGCTCGTGTGAATACAGCGTATTATGGGAGCGACGGCTATAATAGTATTCCCAGCAAAAAATCATTTAGATTTTACATTTGTCAGACACTTTTATCTAAACCAACCCTACTAGGCATTGTTAGCAACATGATTTAGAAGTTCAACTACAGGAACTATTAAGCAAAGAGCAGACAACTTCAAGTGAACAGCACCCAACCACCTTGCAAAAGAGTCAGACTTATATATTAATCTGTTTTGTCTCACTTAAACACTTCTTTTAAACACGTCTTTTCTCTGTGGATCTACTTTCTGGAAATTAAGTAAAACACAGCCTATCGGGCTACTGCTCCAAAGCTGTAATTTGCGTTTAGAGCATGGGTCAAAGACTTTCCCTAATCCTGGATGAAGCTAAGTGCAAGAAAAGAAACAAGGCATACCACCTTTCCTCTACATTTGTTAGACAGAAGACACATTTTCTGTAAAATAATCTGTCAAACTGACTATATCTTACCTGAACGATCGTTTTAAAGGGCTGTTAATACGGAAATGCATTTCTCAAGATTTTAACAGTTAAAATATGTGCTCATTTAGTATTTCATAGTATTTTAGTATTTGTGTGCATTTCAAAATAAATATCTGCATATTTTTGGGTGGTTTTCCTCTGGGTTTAATTAATAAATGTGACAGATGTTAGATTTACATATTTCATATTTTAAGATTTACATATGTCAGCAGTATATATCATTTTACATTAATTTATATCTTTAATATATTAATGTATATTATAATGTATATTATATTTTAATATATTTAATTAAAATATTTAATGTATAAAGATGCACTTAAAGAAGCACTTAAACATGCACACAGCAAGGCCTATCATAACACTGGGACAACACTGACAATACACAGATGTGAATATAAATGCATTTAAAACAAATACACTTACATAAGTGTAGTCTATTATTTTAAAAAAACTGCATTGATGGCAAAATTCAGTCATATATCAATAATAAATTTAATAAATTATGGCCACCTTAAAGAAAGTTAGCCTGTATAAATGTGCTCTGAAATATAACGAATGTATGTAACAAAAGAATACCACAAAATTTACCTTGGTATTTCTTCGCAGACTTCTCAAGATATTCCTCCTCTTTGGGTCCTCGCCTTCTTCATTCAAGGAACTGTCCCCTTTCTGCACACCAAGCTCATCTTCTTTCATCTTGGGAAGACCTCCAAGCTCATCATCACTGCCAATGAAGCTTGTGCGGAAGCTGCTAAACTTTCCAAGACGTTTGGAGCGATCACGATACAGCCCAGGTTTAACTCCAAGAGCAGAGAGTTTCCGTCTACGTTCTAATGAACTGCTATCTGCCTCACTGTCTGATCCATTTCCTGCACCATTAGAATGACTTTTGTTTGCATTGCGAATAGTAATGATCTTGCCCTGTGTGCTGTCATGTGGAACAGAGTAAATATTTTCCTCCTCTGTGGGACGGTGCTTTGCAACAGCATCCATAGGTTCAGCATAGTCAGATGGATCATAACCACCTTCAGTTGCTGGTGGCCAGGTGACTGATGGTAATGAGCGCCTGTTAGGTCCGTGTAGGCCCAGGTCCATGTATGAACTGATGTTTGAGGATTTGGGAATGTCGAAGGTGACATTGGGCTTTGGTCGCACCTGAGGTGGGACTTTGTTGTTAAGCTTGTTTTCAAAAGTGGTGATGTCAGAGATGAGCGAGAAGGCATCACCCTCCATATCTGGGAGCTTGAAACCTCCACCATGGGCCAAAGTGCCATCTTCTCTTAGGGTGGGATAAGGTGGGGAGGGCTCAATGTCATCCTCCGAGTCCAGCAATGTGATGCTTGGGGAGCCACATCGAGGTGAAGAAACATTCTCATTGGTGACATTGTCGGCAACATTGTCATACATATATGTTGCCTCTACAATGGTTTTCTTCTCCACTACCTCCTTAAAGAATGGCTGGAAGTGGTCTATCCGATGCAAGCCTCCCACCACCCCACCAGGTCCACAGATTACAGAGCTGAAACGGGCATCAATTTCATGGGCCAGTTCCTCCCCTTGGGCAAGCTGCTCTCGGACTGCCTCAGAGTCTGCAAGTTCTGATTGAGTCTCTGCAACAGCAAGCAACTGCACTGGAATAATGTCTTGGACTTCACAAAGGAAGGCACAAAGGGTTTCCATGGAAGCCTTCCGTTTGGCTGAGTACACTGCTATGTAACCATGCACTAATCTGCTTTTACGTAAGGAAAAAGAGGAGTGGTAAGATAGAACAGCAAGATCAATGCTTTGCCTTTGGCCACCAATAGATAAATCCAAGAAAACTGATGTTCCACTGGATAGACTGGAAGAGGGCCGACAGTGCTGGGGCAGCAAGAATGGTGAAAGAAGCTGGTCAACATCATATGTATCTCCACACATCAGACACATTACGATTCGCAAGTCACCCTCTGTGCTCTGCTGGGAGTCTCTGAAACTTGCAAGTGCAGGGAGCAAAGGTGGGGAGCTACTGCCAAGGCTAACTGAGGGTCTTCGTGTGTCTAATAGACCTTTGAGTATCTGGTTTAAATGTTTTTCATTTATATTGCGACCATAGCCCACACCTGGAGAAGCAGGCTCTAAATAACTGCACTGAAATTTGCCAGCCACTTGTTGACCTTGTTGGATCAGGCTTTGTGCCGTTTCACCTCCAATGTCAGAAATTGAACCAACACCTCTTTTGGTGACCAACAGAAGAGATAAGGGAAGCTGAACTAGATTAGTATCCCTTCGACCTATGGTTGATTCTCGTAATTTCTCAATACTATCAAAAACATAGGATAAGGATTCCTTTGAGTTGTAGAGGCAGAGGCAACCGTGTGGGGCAAAAGTGGGGGTATGAAAGGAGTTCACTGGAAGGCGCACATTTCCCTCTATAGGTCGAAGAGCCAGTTCATAAGTCCTTCCATCTAGCACGTACCGTTCATCATTGGTGCACAGTGCTCTGATCTCATTAGCTAACTCTCTTGCAAGTCCATCTTTGCCAAGGATCACAAGATTAATTCTGTCTACCTTTCCCTCACCAAATTGTGATTTTGAGCTCCCATCAAAGGAATATCGAGTGGGAAAACGAAGGGCTAAGAGTTGCTCAATTTTGCCATCCACACAATGAGGACTGCTTGGACAGGTTTCCTTAGTAGGGTGGTAGACAAAATGGATATGCTTGAGCACTAGGGCATCTCTCTCAGCTTGAAGCTTTTGCAGGACCTTGAACCTCTGCTCCTCTCCAAGAACCTCTTGGATGGCACCCATTTTTTCTTTACTGGGCTTAGCATCAACTTCAAGCTCATAGAACAACTCTGAGTACTCCAGTAAAAGTTCTTGGAAGTCCTCTTTGGCTTGGTCAATAATAATCTTCTGGTATTTGTTATAGATATCAAGGTACTCAGACTCCTCTAGCCACTGATAAAACTCCTCATTCATTATGAAGCTACGAGCTTCCTCCCAGGGTTTGCCAGGTGTAACAAATGGCGAAGATGCAAGTTTCTCTTTGAATTCCCATCGCATTTCTGCCCGCTTTCGTTCATTGCGCAGGTGTTCTAAGTGAAACTCATAGATTTGCTCTGCTGCAGGGGTTTCCAAAAGGTCCTGTGGAATGCGTTCATCCTCCATGTTGTCAATGTGTGGTGTAGTTTCCCAAGGTGTGTCATCCAGCACAACAAACCAGTGGGAGAATTCCCGCTTAGTCTCGAGAACTTTCTGTACTCCTGACCAGCTCAGGTGATCAATCTCATCCAGACCTGGAACCAAGGAATTGAGAGCCTGTGGGAGTGTGCTGAGATAGATTTTACGCCGCTTTTCTATATGCTGTTGCTTGAGCCTGTGCACATGTTGCTGGAATAGTTTCTTGGCCTTGGAAGTACCCTCAAGGAAGACATACTCTTTGTATTCAGGGGATGTCTGCATTCTGCGGTTGATGTTGGGCCATGTTTCATTATGGTTCTTCACAATGCGACTTACCAGCCACTCATAGCGGTCCTTAGCGGATGCTATCTGCTGACTCTGCTGCTTGAGGGCTTCAAAGTATGGAATGATCTTGGGCTTCCCTCTACTCTTATCTATCAACTGCACCAAGGTAAGAAAGGCAAGGTCAACATTAACGTTAGAGCGTGCTGAGGTTTCAACAACCTGCAGATTCTTCTTGGCCAAGGCAAAGGTGTGAGAGTCTTTAATGTACCGCTCAACTCCTTCATCACACTTGGTCAACACAAGTACAACTGGCTTCTTGGTCTTAGCTAGCTGATTATAGAGATTGGTGACAAACTTCATCTGGTCATCAAAATTTCGGTTCATTCCCCTGCTCACATCTACACAGAGTAAAAATCCATCCACTAAAAGCTTGCCTTCAGGCATTTGCTTCTGCTCAAAGTCTTGCTCTAGTCCTAGTTGATCTGTGCAGAAATACATAAGCTTCTCAGCAGAGGCCAGTTTGGTGGAAGCTGCCCGCTTGATATAGGGCTGTAAGGCAGTACTTCGATGAGGCTGAAACGTTTGGTCATCAATAAACTCTGTCTGTTCCACCACATGCATTCGGCACTCAGCACCCTCTTCCAACATTCGTACCGCCTCACCCCAAAACAGGAAGTGGTCATTGTTTACCACTCGACCACCAAAGTCACTTGTGCTTAAAACAGATGTGTGGTCCAAATAAAAATCATCAGCACTGGGGCGAACAAAGCGATTACAAAGGCAGGACTTGCCTACCCCACATTGCCCCTTTTCCTTTTCAGTCCCGGACAAACCTACCACAACAAGGTTGTAGGTTGGTGCCCGGGCATCTTGTTTTTTTGCCATCATCATAGTATGACAGCACTCATTTTGCCATTCCCAGAAGCTCTAGTTTGAAAGCTGCTGGGCTGATGTTCCATCCAAATGCTTTCAGGCTTGACAAATAATTTATTTCTAAAGATCCTGAAAGTTACTTTAGGTATTTTTTTCCATGCAGGGCCAGTATGTCCAATGCCTTTAATGATCAAATTTTAAATCTGCAGTCATTTGGCTATTTAGGATTTTGGCAGAGGTTTAGAAGGGGAAGAAGGGAATGGGTTTGAGGGTGGGGGAGAGGAGTCCTTGTGGACTTAGGCAGGTGTGCTGCAGGTGTTATTATTCCAGCCCATCTCCTCTCTTCAGGGGCACTCTGACACAGAAATACTGTAGGTTTCAGGTTCGCCCAACCTGGATCTGACCCTGCAAGAAATAAAACAAACATTACAATTAGAAATTTAACTACAAAAAGATACAAATAACAATTTTAAATAAATTATCCATCACATTTTCATCTACTAAACATCTAGGACTACTTAGAGGACAAATAATTTTGTTCAAATTTGATCAAATATGACTATAAAGCTATACGTTTTCACATCAAGATGAATGACTTTATATTGGCTGTTAAAATTTACTGCAGTACAGTAAGGGGTATGTAAGTGCAAAGTCACAAGGAATTCGATTATTTTGGCACCACCACCAGTCCCTGTTTCATTTCATCAGTTGCCCAGGGTTGTTTATGTGTAACCTAAAGGTATCAATACCAGGGTATAAGAGGCTGGTATAATACCAAAGACAATTTTTTAATTGATTCAACCCTACAAGGCATCACATTCTAATACCAAACACAGATAAACATATACACACAGATGAAAGCTGTGACAGGGTTCGTACACATTTTTACCAATAAATTTCCATGACTTTATGATTTGAGAAGGCTAAATTGATCAAACATAGGCTATGATTAACTCACTGTCTGCCACTGGCCGCTTGGTCGTTACTTTAAAAAAACAAAAACTTGAATTTAACAAACAAAAACATTTTCCAAACATATTTCTAAATTAACGTAATAAAGAAACGAAAATATATAACCACTTTTGCCATTAAAAACGAAACTGAACTATTTTAATGGCTATGCTGTGGGTGTGGCAGTGTTATGTTTGTTTAACCATTGACCAGCTCCCCTAACATAACTCGGAAACATCATCTCCATTTTATATGTTAAATATTACACTTGCACTGCTCAAGAACCTCTCAAAATCATACATGAAATGTAACCTGGATACATTTTCATTGCATTCATCACTTCAAATGAACTATTTTTTTTCTCTTGTTGCCTGTTAGAATCATGAGGACATCTTTAAGCCCATCAGATGTGGTTATCATTTAGTAAGCTATGAGGGAGTAATTGTATCATTCATACTGATAGAGGGCAGGTAATTATGTAATTATGCTCAAGAACTGGTTGCTGTAAGTGCCACCCATGGTAACACTTTCCATATTAAATTCCAAGATGTTACAATGAGGAAGAAAAGATGCGAGAATGCATTTTATGGCTTGAAAATTAATTTTAGCAGAGAAACACTTGTGAGCCCTCAAGGAAAAATAAATAATTAACAAATAACCATGAGAGCTGCCTGGCTACAGATCAGCAATGACCCACGTGTCACGCACATACACACACAACCAGGTGGTGACTCCAGCTTCTGGGACCAAAAGAAAAAAAAATCAGTGTGTCTATTTTGTTGGGTCACCAACATGACAACTGACGCCATGCTTGCTGGTTCATGACCAATTGTGAAAGTCATTAGTCTAATTAAGGAAGTGCTCATTATTCTTTAGCTCTTCATGAAACTCACATGTTGCCATCAGCACAAGAGCCACATCTGCTTGATCTGTCCCAGCTGTGTAATTCCCTGTATTGCTTTGTCTTTCCATGTTCAACATCCTATTAGTGCTATGAACGAAATTAAACTTACAACAGCTAAAGATGAGAGCCAATCAGCCTGTGCTTTTTCCCCTGGTGAGCTAATGCAGCAACAAACAAATGATAGATATTAAAAACATGAGAACAGATGGCTAGCATAGTTGATACAAAATCAACTAATAAAAATTCAAGCACTTCAAGCAGATGTTCAAGCACCAAATAACTTCGTGTCTTTCTGGAATTCTAAACACTTCTTGTCCAACAACTGCTCTGAGTTTTAAATTTGACAATAACCATAATTTATAATATAAATTAAACCATTTTCTGGTAAACAAAGTGAAAATGTTCACATGCAAGTTGCATTTGTCCATCAAGGCAATAAAAACGTGATTACACTAGTGGCTACTTGCATGTTTAGGTGAGACAAGGACCTATTCTCAAATGCCAACTTAAAACCTTGCAATACTCATTTGTCTGCTATAAAGTCTGTATTTGCATGAATTCAAAAAAAGTGTGCATTGAGGGTGCATAGTAGATGAGGGGGCCTTCTGAAACAAAAAATGTTAAATGAGACAACTTACAATCTTGCACGTCTGCAAAATAATTGGGACCACTACTAAGGTATCATCAAACACATGGCAAAAGCAGATGTTCCAGCATCCACCAATCAGAGGTGAGATACAATCACACCCATGACCATGTTTGGATAAGACATGATACAGTCCATCACGCCAAAGCTAAGCTAGCATGTAGCCTGCAGACTTGAGGACTTCATCCTACCCTTCGTGTCAGGACACAGTCACTAATAGATGAGGATATGCCTGGACTTGCCCTCATACATGTCCTACTTGCCTACATAAGAGGAAAAGTGAAAGAGGGCGCAGGGGGTCTGGCTGGTGGGTGTAAGAAAGACAATCTGAGAGATGGACGCCAGCTAAACCAAAAACAGCAAGTAGTGGCCGAAAGGGTGTGAAGTTTGCACTTGCTTGTAACAGCGGGTTGCCGTTAACTCAGTGAGAGGGGGCAATCATAAGGGAACAGAGCATTCCAAAGCTTCATTAAAGTGCAGTTTAGTTTTTTAAGGGACTGTCAAGGTTTAAACTCCACAAGCCTTTTGATGATCAGAGGGAAGAAATCCATACAGTAAAGTCTGAGTGATGTGCAGTGTTTGTTAAGCTTTGTAGCACATTTTTTATATTTTTTTAAGGTTATGGCTGTATCAGATAAGGACTCGCTGTTTAAAGAGAAGACATTTGTATAGAATGCCTTTTTGTTTTTTGAATGCTACCAAGGCCCCTGACCTGACCTTTGATATGTAAGCAAGACTTGGAACGTAGGAAGACAATGAAAATACAGATGTGTTGGATGAAACCAGAAACATCTCTCAAGCTACACACTGAATTTCTCACCAAGAGTTAAAAAAGTCGACATGTTTACTTTTCTAAGACATCATATACAAGATGATCTGAAAAATGCCCATTGTTGGCTGACTGTTTAAGTTCCATCAGCCTCCAGTAATGAACAACTCCATAGCCAACACAATCAAACTAGAGAACAATACAGCCCCCTCTGAATGGGTCTTAAGACAGTAAAATGCAGCAGACAAAGCAATTTCAAAGACTATAATTAATACCAACAGAAATGAAAACTACAATTTGTTTCCTGTCAAACTACTGTGAAGAAGACTGTCTAAACAGATATTCACACACACAATCAGGCCGACAAGCTGTAAACATCCACTTACACACACTCTCGCAGATCAATCAGTCTTTTATATTCTCTTCAAAAGAAGCAAAGATTGAAAACGTCGCTGAACATCAGTAAATAACAGATGTGCATTGTTTGGTTACTAAAGACATTGTTATTGTTGAGAGAGTATTATCATTTGACAATGATGTGCTGGTGCACAAATTATTCCTAATGATGTGCCACTATAAAACGATAAATAGGCCTATACGAGAAACATATTTTTACTTAAATAATAAATTAAGAAAATGAAAGAAAAACTGTGCAACAAGTAGCCTAGTATTAGGCCTGGGCGATAAAACGGTATCAATATTTATAACGGTACACCATCATCGATAACAATAGAAAACATTTTCGATATATCACACGATAGTTTCATGCTTTTTTCCATTTAAAGGCGCATGTTATGAGTGACAAGCAGAGCCAACAGAACACACAAACACACACTGAAATGAGTGCCGTGCCTGCGTGCGATGAGGCCTATTTTTCTTTAGGCTTATTTTACAAAAGCACAAAGATTTTTTATTGTGAATGTACACAAATAAACAATTCTGATTACCTTTAGGACTAAAAGGAGTAGTTTCTTCCACTGTTAGAAGGAAAAAATTCAAGTGATTGCGCTGGCGCCGCATGTGC